GTTGTAATAGTAGTAGTAGTAGTAGTAGTAGTAGTAGTAGTAGTAGTAGTAGTAGTATTAGTAGTAGTAGTAGCAGTCGTAGTAGTAGTAGTAGTAGTAGTAGTAGTAGCAGTAGTAGTAGTAGTAGTAGTAGTAGTTGTAGTAGTAGTAGTAGTAGTAGTAGTAGTAGTAGTAGTAGTGGTCGTAGTAGTAGTAGTACTCGTGATAGTGGTAGTCGTAGTGATAGTAGTAGGAGTAGTAGTAGTAGTGGTAGTGGTAGTGGTAGTGATAGTGGTAGCAGCAGGAGGTCGTCGTAGTAGTAGTTCGGTCATAGAAGCAGAAGGGGTATACTACCAACGAAGAGGAAGAAGGAGTAGGTGCAGGGGCACACCAGTAGTAGGCGTAGTAGTCGTAGTAGTCGTAGTCGTAGTCGTCGTAGTCGTAGTAGCCGTAGTAGTAGTAGTAGCAGTAGTAGTAGTAGTAGTAGTAGTAGTAGTTGTAGTAGTAGTCGTCGTAGTAGTAGTAGTAGTAGTAGTAGTCGTCGTAGTAGTAGTAGTAGTAGCAGTAGTAGTAGTAGTAGTAGTAGAAGAAGTAGTAGTAGTAGAGTAGTAGTAGTAGTAGTGGTAGTTGTACTGTAGTAGCAGGGCTTTTGGTAGCAGTGGTTGTCGTAGTAATTAGTAGTAGCAGTATTCGTAGTAGTAGTAGTGTAGTAGTAGTAGTAGTCGTAGTAGTCGTAGTAGTAGTAGTAGTAGTAGTAGTAGTAGTATAGCAGTAGCAGTAGCAGTAGCAGTAGCAGTAGCAGTAGTAGTAGTAGTCGTAGTAGTCGTAGTAGTCGTAGTCGTAGTCGTAGTAGTAGTAGTAGTAGTAGTAGTAGTATTAGTAGTTTCAGTAGAGTAGTAGTAGTAGTAGAGTAGTAGTAGTTAGTAGTAGTAGTAGTAGGTCGTGTAGTAGTAGAGTAGTAGTAGCAGTAGTAGTAGTAGTAGTAGTAGTAGTAGTAGTAGTAGTCGTCGTCGTCGTCGTTCGTAAGTAGTAACGTAGTAGTAGTAGTAGTAGTAGTAACAGTAGTAGTAGTAGTAGTAGTAGTAGTAGTAGTAGTAGTAGTAGTAGTAGTAGTAGTAGTAGTAGTAGTAGTAGTAGTAGCCGTAGGCCGTCGTAGTACTAATACGCTCGTATAAGAAGAAGGAGTAGAGGAAGAAGGGGTAGGTGGATGCTACGCCAGTAGTAATTGTTTGTCATCGTCGTGCACCTGTTTTTTTGATCAGTTCAGTGTGTTGGCGCCGCCTCCTGCCGCTGCAGGCGGCGTCCATCATCACGGGCCTGCCCTACACAGTTGTCATGTTCTGGTGCGCGCAGTCGCTCGTGATCTTGTGCCAGGAGGAGCTGCGGCTGTTGCTTCGTGCTCCTGCGCCTGCTTCTGCTGCTGCTGCTGCTGCTCCACCTCGCCCACCCAGGCCAGGACCGCGGACGCGCATGCAGCGCGATTGAGCAACTGGTGATGGCGAGATGCAGGGGAGGAGGTAAGGACCATAATCTGAATACACATGGGGAGCACGAGGGGGAGGACTGGAAATTAAGTCGAAGACTTATCAACGATGTGGCAGTACACCCTCTATACACCCTCTCAGCCCAAATCGCCCCATCATTCGTCCCTCCAAGTACCCGTATGCACTGCACGCAGCTCCCCGCTTGAAAGACGATCGTCCAATGTGACCGCAATTCATGCGTCTTTTTTTGTTGTTGTGAAAACGCAAGTCCTCCATCTTTCGAACTAGAAGGAATGCTGCAGGGTGGGGTGAGACAGTTCAGCGACATGCTCAACAATTGTTGCGCTTTGGAAATGGGCCGCCCCCCATCCTTCTTGCAGTTGTGCATAACAGGCGTCAGTCCATGACATTTGGCGAAGACCTCGGTGGTAATTGCACCATTTTGGGCGCGAGCTGCCCTCCGTCCGTGTACCTGTTGCAACATATGATGCAGGTGCCAAGGCTGTCTGTGGGCCCATCTGGAAAAATGGGCCGCCGTCGATCCGTTTAATTGCTGGTTCCCTCGGGAACTGGCATGAGCCCGGGGTTCGTTTTCTAATGTGGTTAATTGGCAACTCCCGCGCCATGTCTGGACAGTTTTGTTTGTTTGTTTGGTTTTGTGTATGGGGGCTTGCCAAACGATAGTGTTTCTTGTTCGAATGATGTGAAGCCAATTTTCAATCGAAGACGTGATTTTCGTGCGTGCCCATCAGAGGAGCGTTCGTCCCCCCCACCCCACGTCGGATTCTAGCAAACTCATGGGGTCCGCAGGCCACCGTTTGAATTTGGAAAAAAGTGTGTACGGAGCGTTTTGCGCAACATCCTCGTCAAGTGTGCGCCGACATGGGCCGACGAATTTTCAAAACATGTGAAGCCATGTATAGCATTCCCAGCCATGCTGTGGTGTTGGGTCCTCGCTTTCAGTTCACAGCGCCCCGCGTCACTATTTTCCGCTGCTCCTCCTACCCCCCTCCTCCCTCCTCACCCCGTGGCGATTTTGGCTCAAGGTAATCGGCGGCTCAAGCTTTCTCAGTTCGGAGCGTGCTGTTCGCGAAAGGGAGGTCGTGCTGGGATGGAAGCCTTGGTTTCGCTTTGCAGGTATGAGGCTGCCGCGCCAGGCTGGCGCTTTGAAATGGAAGTGCTCGTCGTGTTTATCTTCTCGACAACCTTCCTGTGGAACTTCGTGACCCCCTGCTGCTTTGAACTTGACTAGATGAAGGTCGCCATGGACGCATGGACGACGTTCCCTGGCGTTGGATCCAAGAGGTGTGGACATGGATCTACATCATCCCTCAGGACATTTGGTTTTGTATCTTGCTCTGGGTTGTGGTCCAGCACGGTAAGCTGAAGCTCGGAAAGGACGTCGATGGACCAGAGTTCAGCACTGCCACTCGGTTCTCGATGTTGTTCTGCTGCGGCGTCGCCACAGGCCTGTTCTACTACGCAGTTGCGGAGCCGATTTCAAGGGTTGGGTCAGCCCGAGGTTTCTGTCCGCGCTCCCAGGGCTGCGGCAGCGTGGACGAAGACGCGACGCACGCACCGTTGGTGAGCGTCTTCCAATAGGGCGTGCATGGCTGGATCCCCCACGTTGAAATGGAAGCCACGCTTGGCATCATGACATACCGGCGTGGGTACCCGATGACCGTCCCATTCTGCGCTCTATCCTCTTATCGGCGTAACGTTTGCGGCTGGATGGGAAACGCCGTGGATGCCGTCTCAATCGTCATTTCTATCGCAGGCATCTGCACGTCCGTCGGCCTAGGCGACATGTCGATCAACGCCAGCCTGCAGCGCCTCAGCTGGGGGAAGCACCACGGCGAGAACTTTGCAATTCCGAACGATGCCAAGTATGCCGATTCTGGATATGGTGGCCAAGAATGTTCCTATGATGATGGGCAGGAATCTTACGGCATTCAGTGATACAGGGCAATCGTGATCTTTAGCCATTCTGATCATGACCTGCTTGTCGACCATGTCGGTGGTGATGGGCCTTGGCTCTGGCATCGAGTTCCTTTCACAGTGCGCCTTCGCAATGGGGAGCTTCTTGATGCTTGCCGTGGCGTTTAACACCGATACCTGCCTCATTCTGGACAATCGTGAATCGTGAATCTTTTGGATTCCTTTGCACTTGGGAATCATGAATCAATCGTGAATCTTTTGGATTCCTTTTGAATCGTGAATCTTCTTGGACAATCTACTTTTGGTACATCGTGAATCTTGGATTCCTCTGCGACGCCTGGGAGCGCCTCTGCACCCAAGTCAGGGGGCTCGGCGCCTCTGGCACTGGCGGAAGCACGTGGATCATTTTCTGGACCATCTTCTATGGGGTTTGGTGGATCTGTCCGGGCCTTAGCTGCGATGTCTCGGTTATTCCCAGACTCCGCCGTGCCTCCCAGGAGTTCACGAATGCGGCGACAATTGCGAAGTTCGCAGCTACCCAGGATGCACTGAGGTCTCGGGTGCCCCCCGACTCCGCCGTTCACCCCAGAAGCCCACGAAAGTGGGGACAGTTGCGCCTTTCGCAGCTGCCCAGGGAGCTGCCAGGTCTCGGGTACTCCCACACTCCGCCGTGCCTCCCATGAGCCCACAAAGTCCTCACACTCGTTGCGGGGAACTCCAAAGGCAGGACCCTCAGTGCTTCCATCGTGCCCGCGCTTCTTGTGCCCCCGCCCTCTGCAGCAGCGCCGTCTGCATCTGCGTGTGGGGCAGTGAGGGTATTCGCATGCAGCGCACGGCGGACTCGGTGGGCCAATGCAGTCCAACTTGCGCTGGGGGATCGAACTGGTCTGGAAGCTGCTGGAAGATGATTACGTTGAGTTCTGTAAGCGGTGAGGGCGGCAGCCACGGTTGCCATCTGTCGAGCCCTGTTTGGGGGCACGTGGCAGCGTGCGACACGCGCTGTCCGTACTCGACTTGCTTGATCGAACTGGTCTGATCAGTGCAGTTGGAGCAGGCAACAGAATCTGAACATGGGCTGGACCCCCGACTGCGTGCTGGACGCTGCCTACCACATCGGATGCGGCAGGTGCACGAGGGCGAAGTTCACCAGGTACGTGGATTGTCATGGCGGGCGGTGGCAAGCAACCAAGGAAGCCTTCCTGTGCCGAGGTCGCCGCTGGCGGTGCCCGAGGTGCTGGCAAGCTGGCAGACGGCGCCTACTGGGTCTGCTCGGCTCGGCGGTGCCGCGCCAGAATTTACGCGACAGGGTGCCCCGCGGGGCATGCGGCCGCAAGGCCCGCCTTGGGTCGATGCCGCCGCCGCCGCGAGGGCTGGCCGAGGCTCCGCGGCCCCCTCCGAGGCCGACGCCGAGGTATTCGTCGCGCGGCCCCGAGGGCGCAGGGCTGCGCGCGGCCGAGCGCGCCGCCGTGACCTCCCGCGCCGCCTCGGCCGCGAGCGCAGGGGCCAGCGCGGCTGGCCGAGGAGGAGGCAGCAGCGGCGGGAAGGCGGCGAAGGCGGCAGCCGACGTCGAGCGCCACCGCGCCGCAGTCCTGCAGTCGGAGAGCATCCACGGCAAGTCGAGGGCGCATTCCGACGCCGCCGCGGTCGCGCTGCAGGTCGACCTCGAGCGAGCGAAGCGCGGGCTTGCCGAGGCCGAAGCAGCGCAGCGGGGCGCCGAGCAGGAGGGCCGCCCCGTGGAGGCTATCTTGCGTTCGGCCGGCTTCGCCGTGTCCGAGCTCAGCAAGCAGGTCCGCAGTCGCAAGCGCGACCTTGGGAAGGCCGAGACGGGGCTCGCTGCTGCCGAACAGGAGTTCGCTGATACCCCTGAGCGAGGTGCGGCATGCACCCAGAAGGTGACGACAGCCAGGCCGCGCTCGCAGAGCAGCGGGCTCGGCCCCGCGACGCGACTGCCGCGCGGCGGCGGACCGCCCTGGCAGCCTTCAGCGCGCCCGAGGTGCTCGCCCTCTTCCGCGGCCCCCTTGCCCAGGTCGACGCAGCCCGCGGGGGCCCGCTGCGGGCCTCGGGGCCGCCCGGCTGCGCCCGCGGCAGGCGCTGCTGTTCCCTGTCATGCTGCAGCTGCGGTCGATGGACCTCCGGGCGGCCTGCGAGAAGGCGCCCCGGCGGCTGGAGCAGATGGGCACCCAAAGGGTCTTCATCCCCACGGCGGGGGGGGGGAAGGCGATTGCGCGCGCCCATCCCGCTCCTCGCCCGCTTCTGGGGCAGGCTCGAGGCTCGGGCAGCCAGTCTGCGCGCCCTGAGAAGCGGCCCGCGATCGCCGCTTCTTCCGGGGGAAGACCGACAGAGGCTGCGAGAAGGCAGGCTGGCTGCGCAAGGCCTACGCTGCCTGTTCCTCGACGTCGTCCAGTTCTACGAGAACCTGCGGCGGGGCGTGCCCTGGAGGAACGGGGTGGCCCATGGCTTCAACCTGCGCTTCGCGACCCGGCGCCCCCCCGGGCCCGCGAGGGCGCCATGTTGGCCATTTTGAGGTCCCACAGCCAAGGCCTCGTCATTTTTGACGCGGCGGCCCCCCGATCCCGCGCGCGCGCCATGCCGGTTATGAACCTGGGTTTACATGTCCTGGGGATATTGATTGGGGTTCATAATGTCCCCCCGGACATTACAAACCCTGGTTTGTAATGTTCTGGGGATATCGACCCCGAAAACATATTCATTTGGTTCGTAACGTTCCAGGCATATTGACTGTATAATGTCCCGGGAATACTGAACCCGGTTTTCGTCATTCCTGGAATGATAATAACTATTATTTTCCCCCCAACCCCCGGGTTCCGCACCAGGTTTGTCATGTTGGAATATTGACCCCGGTTCGTGATCTCCAGGCGATAATAGACCCGGATTCGTAATGTTCCTGGAATATTGACCCCGTGTTAATTATTCTGGAATTATAATGATTGAGCCTGGGGGGTGCCGTTTGAGAGTACGTTCCGGACTGAAGTATACCCTGATCCATAATGTTGGAATCTTGAACTTAGGCTAATTCCGGACAGATAATGGTTCGGCGGGGGGGGCTGAGCCCGACCCATTCACAGGATAATAACTCATAGGGTATCATCTGAAGATAACGAACCTAGGTTTTCATTCCTAGATACGAAACCACGGTCGACGAGGATGTCAGACCCAACCTCCACCCTCCATTCCGGTGCACCCCTCACACGTATCTTGGCCCCATAGAGAGCTCTTCTGAAGGCCTCATTGGCAGCGCCCGCATGCGGTTTCACTCTCATGTCGGTGCACCCCTCACACGGTTCGTGGCCCCATAGTGAGTTCCACCGAGGGCCCAAATGGCAGCGCCCGCATGCGGTTCCACCTTCATTTCGGCACAGCCCTCTCTCGTTTCGTGGCCCCATCGGGAGCTCCACCGAAGGCCCCAGTGGCAGCGCCCGCATGCAGTTTCACCCTCCACGTCGGCAAACCCCTCACACGCATCGTGGCCCCGTGAGAGCTCCACCGAAGGCCACAGTGGCAGTCCCCGCATGCGGCTCCACCGCCATTCCAGTGCACCCCTCACTCGGTTCGTGGCCCCATAGGGAGTTCCACCGAAGGCCCCAGTAGCAGCGCCCGCATGCGGTTTCACCCTCTATGTCGGCACACCCCTGACACGTATCTTGACCCCATAAGGAGCTCCACCGAAGGCCCCAGTGGGCCCTTTTGCTGGCCCCCCTCTTTCATTTCATTTCCCTGGCGATGCGCAGCGCCCGCATGGCGGCCCCGCCACATTTCGGCACACCCTTCACGCGCTTTTTGGCCCCATAATGAGGTCTTCCGCAGGCGACACTCTCACCGACGGTACTCACAATTGCATATGGTTGGGTCCTTCGCCAGGCTTTTTTCTTTCTCCCCCTCTCTCTCTCTCTCGCTTCAGGGCATGGGTGGACGGAGGATGCGCAGGAAGGAGGGGAGTGAAGATACGGGGGGAGGAGGAGAAAGTAGGAGAGGCTAGCGAGGAGACGTTGTGCATAATGGAGCCAACGACTGCTGAATATACAGGAGCGACACATTGGATCACATCTAGGGGAAGAATGATGATGACTATGCTGATGATGCTGATGCTGCTGATGATGATGATGCTGATGCTGAGGCTGACGATGATGATGATGCTGATTCTGCTGATGATGCTAATGCTGCTGCTGATTATGATGATGGTGATGATGGTGATGATGGTGATGATGGTGATGGTAATGGCGATGCTAATTGTGATACTGATGATGACGATGACGATGCTGATGCTGATGATGCTGATCCTGATAATGCTGCTGCTGATGATGATGCTGCTGCTGCTTCTGCTGCTGATGATGCTGCTGATGATGCTGCTGATGATGATGCTGCTGCTGATGATGATGATGATGCTGACGATGATGATGCTGATGCTGCTGCTGCTGCTGCTGATGATGATGATGATGATGAGGTTGATGATGCTGATGATGCTGTTGATTATGATGCTGATGCTGATGCTACTGATTATGCTGCTGCTGGTGATGATGCTGATGCTGATGACGATGGTGATGCTGCTGTTGATGATACTCATGCTGCTGATGATGATGCTGATGATGCCATTGATGCTGATGCTGATGATGATGCTGATGGTGACGATGATGATGCTGATGCTGATGTTGATGATGATGGTGATGATGATGATGGTGATGACGATGATGATGATGATGATGATGATGATGCTGATGATAATGCTGATGCTGATGCTGATGCTGATGATGATGATGATGATGATGCTTTGCTGCTGATGTGATGCTGATGCTGATGCTGATGGATGCTGCTGCTGCTGATGGGAGTGATGTGATGACGATGTGATGATGATGATGATGATGATGATGATGATGATGATGATGATGATGCGATGATGATGATGACGGATGACATTTGATGATGATTGATTGATGATGGATGATGATGATGATGATGATGATGATGATGATGATGAGATGATGATGATGATGAGGAGAGGAGGAAGGAGGAGGAGGAGGAGGAGGAGGAGGAGTTGGAGGAGGAGGAGGGTAGGAGGAGGAGGGAGGAGGAGGAGGAGGAGGGAGGAGGAGGAGGAGGAGGAGGAGGAGGAGGAGGAGGAGGAGGAGGAGGAGAGGAGGAGGGAGGAGGAGGAGGAGGAGGAGGAGGCGGAGGAGCGGAGGAGGAGGAGGAGGAGGAGGAGGAGGAGGAGGCGGAGGAGGAGGAGGAGGGAGGAGGAGGAGGAGGAGGAGGAGGGGAGGAGGGGAGGAGGGAGGGAGGGAGGGAGGGAGGGAGGGGAGGAGGGAGGGGAGGGAGGGAGGGAGGGAGGGAGGTGAGGGAGGGAGAGGAGGGAGGAGGGAGGAGGGGAGAGAAGGAGGAGGAGGAGGAGGAGGAGGAGGAGGAGGAGGCTAGGAAGAGAAGGAGGAGGAGGAGTAGGAGGATGCGGAGCGGAGGAGAGAAGGAGGAGGAAGAGGAGGAGGAGGAGGAGGAGGAGGAGGAAGGAGGAGGAGGAGAGGAGGGGGAGGAGGAGGAGGAGCGAGAGGAGGAGGAGGAGGAGGAGGAGGAGGAGGAGGAGGAGGGGTGCTAAAGAGGAGGAGGAGGAGGAGGGGGAGGAGGAGGAGGAGGGAGGAGGAGGAGGAGGAGGAGGAGGAGGTGGAGAGGAGAACACGGGGGTGGAGAGGGTGGAGGAGTGGGCGAACGAGAACGACTGCGGCGAAGCATTCGCGAAAAAGGGGCAAGCGTGTATGCCCGCCCAGGAGAACGGTGGGCTCGACCCTAACCGGAAGGCCTGGCGCTCCAGCCTTCCCATCCCGCAGGGGGCGTGGGGGGGGGAAAGAGAGGGAGACGGGAGACGGAGAGGGAGAGTTGGAGGGAGAGGGAAATGAGGAAAAAGAGGTGAGGGAAGGGAGGAGGATGGAGGCGGGGGGGCGGAGTTTGGTTTGCAATGTACGAGTGTGAGAGTGGTGCGAGGAGTGGCAGCGCCGAGTGGATGCGTCTAGAGGCCGTGGGCAAACAATGGGATGCTAAAAGTTGTTGCGAGAAGTTGTTGGGCATAAGAAGGTGTTGATGCGACAGGTGTGGATGGTACCCCAGCCCTCCTGCGCTTCAAGGGTAGAGTGAAGTGAAGTGAAGCAGATGTAGAGGGGAGAGAGGGGGGAGGGAGGGGAGGGGGGATGGGGAGAGGGGAGAGGGAGGGGAGGGATTAAGGCAGAGAGGGAGGGAGTAGGGAGGAGAGGGGTGAGCGAGAGAGGGAGAGAGAGGGAGAGACGGACCCTCTCTCGCTTGCGTCGGTTGGTGCTGCGCTCCTGGGATAGCCCCTTTACTCCAATTAGGACCTCCACTGCGCCTCCAACCTTGAGCGCACAGTTTGAGTTCCCGCGTCGAGCCTTCGAGTCATTCGCTTCCAGCTCGGCTGGCGCAGCCGGCGGTTTTCCGTGAACGACCTTAGCGCACGCCGTCTTGCTCGGCTTGGGTCATTGTGATTGCCCCCCCCAAGCTTCCATGGTCCTTGGAAGGGTCTGGGGTTGGGTGCCGCGAATGGTCTCGGCATTGTCCGTCCGCTGTGAGAGACATCAGCGCCCTGTGCTAAAGTCGGACCGAGGTTTGAGATCGAGGTCGCTTCGGGGAGGGTGCCCTGGTGTTCTTCGTGTTTGTCGGCTGTTATTGAGCATCCTGGGGAGGGTACTTTGGGATGTTCTGCGTGTTTTGGCCAACTGAGGGTCTCATGTCGTTGAAGGATATTTTTCTGGCCTAGGTCCGACTGTATTTCTTTTGCCGGGTCAAATTCCCAACGCTGCCCTTACGCGGGCCGCCTGTTTGTGCGCCTGGCGCACCTGGGTTACGACGCCGCAGAACTGCTTTCGCGTTGTCAGCGGCTTTCGGTCGCAGTCGCGTGTTTCTTTCTGTTGGCCTAGTGCAGCTCGGAAGCCGCCGTATTCGGCGCTCTTGAGCTTGAGGGGTATCTGCACATCTAGCCGCCCACAAGACAAGCTCGTGCTGCTACTTCTGGGTGTCTGGCTCAAGCTGGGAGTAACATAACCGTGTCGTTCGTTGGATGTCAGTCTGGCCTACGCAGTAGCATTTGTAGTAGTGCTAGTCGTAGTTGTAGTAGTAGCAGGAGTCGAGGTTGCAACTAGTAGTAGTAGTAGTAGTAGTAGTAGTAGTAGTAGTAGTAGTAGTAGTAGTAGTCGTAGTCGCAGTAGTAGTAGTAGTAGTAGTAGTAGTAGTAGTCGTAGTCGTAGTCGTAGTCGTAGTCGTAGTCGTAGTCGTAGTCGTAGTCGTAGTCGTAGTCGTAGTCATAGTCGTAGTAGTAGTCGTAGTAGTAGTAGTAGTAGTAGTAGTAGTAGTAGTAGTAGTAGTAGTAGTAGTAGTTAGTAGTTAGTAGTTAGTAGTTAGTAGTAGTTAGTAGTAGTGGGTAGTAGTAGTAGTAGTAGTAGTAGTAGTAGTAGTAGTAGT